GGAAAAGTAAGCGATTTGGTGAATGACCTTGAAAGTCAAGGACGCGTACAGGCAATTTTTTTCTCGCAATTAAGATGATTTGTAACCACTCGGCGGAGATTTGAGGCTAATAAAAATAAGTCATCGAGTTCGTTTTTTTATTACATAACTAACTGCTCTCCAAAGACCGTAAGGAAATATTTGCAGATGTAAAAGTGACGAAAAAAATGGTCCGTTATTAAAAGGTTGAACATTTTGCACCTGATGGCGGACACGTTCGCCGTGTGTTCGGATTTTTTGGACGAAATCGCGCCGTCGAAACGTACGGAAGCTTGAAACGTTTTAAATTTATCAGATGATTATAAATATTTCGGTTTGGTAGCCGCTGCTTGTCAGCGTTATTAAGATTGGCTGATTTAGGAACAATTAAGAGCTATTTTTAGAGATGCCGAAAACGGTTCTCTATTAATTACTTGGATTTATTGATATTGACATTAATATGTTGATGGTTCGAATTCTCCGTCGGTTGTCTAAGGTAAATAAATTATGAGATGTTGTTGTCGGTGTCCTTCGATTACGACAAATCGAGAAAACTTCTAGGTCAAGGTTTTGTTTTTATTTCAAAATTATTTGAAATTGTCGAATGTTTTTGTAATTAACATAATTAAAGCCGATAAACACTTAAATTAATTAAGAAGGGACGTGGTTTACACAACCTCAGAAACTGATGTCACTCTTGAGGTGGCAAGACGTATTTCCGGCATTTTGTTTTTCCTTTCAATGCGGACAGAGTGGTCAATTAATGATTTAACATTTTCCGACTTCTTATCTAAATGAAGGTTAACCCCAATGGGGTCTCTAATATAAATAATCTTTTGTTTTATTAATAAATTTGTGGTTTGTCATTATGTTTTAAGAAAACGGAAATGAAAATAAATTTGACGATTCGAGTAAAATACACAATGTTTATTTTTTATGCGGAAGTTTTTTGAGTTGGAGCCAAGTTCGTTTGTGGTTATTCCTGCAGCTTCTATGATTACATTTCTGCCTAAGCCGGATTGTGGTTACTTAGCGTTAAGTGTAAAAAATTAAAAATATAAAGCTGTTTACAAGGAATTTTAATGTTTGATGATAATGGACTTTGGTGGTAAGATCATTTTCAAAAATCTGAAGGCTGGTTTTTCGTTGTTGAAGTGAGTAATGAAGTTCTAGAAAAAAATCGTGATTTAATATTACAGCGAGTAATTAAATAAGAAATTTATTGAACTTGACCACAAAATTACGATTTTAATTTATTCAGTTATTATCTGACTCACTTTGATATAAAAAAGGCACATAAAAATAGAAATGAAAGAAATGTAAAAAAAACTAGTAAAGTGAAAAAAGTAAGATTTACCTGATCTAGCGTTCTTTATTAGTTTTCTTTCGACTTCACTTTTGGTTTTTCTGTTACTATGAATTCAGTTGACGAATTTATTTTACGAAGATATATTTTTCTCGTTTTTTTTTGGAATATAGTTTTGTTTTGCTATTTCTAGAATTGAATTTTTGGTTTATTGTATGTTTTTATTCAAATAGGGTCCATTTTGCGAATGACTAATTTCATGTTTTCTCCACACTATTCAAAATTTGGCTGTGTATTCCTTCCAAAAATTTAATGACGCCATTGCTACTAAATTTTCCAATATAAGTCGTATCCAAAATGTACAAAATGTTCGGAATGGGACTATTTGGCGCGGCCGACTTGGCGCGGCCAACTTGGCGCGGCCGACTTGGCGCGAGTCATTTTGGCGCAAAGCCAACTTGGCGCAGGGACACTTTGGCGCAAGCCATCTTGGCGCGAGTACGTCAGTATATAATACAAAAAATATTTATTGTTCGTACTTTGGTTGGCACCCTGTTATTTATGCTAAGTATAGGCAACCAAATACACATTTTCATTTGCACAAATTCCAATAACTAAATGATCCACGGAGCAAGAAGTTTCACGTTTAGGAATATGTTTATAATGGGGTGCAGGGCGCGAAGCGCCCGTGTGTCCATTAAAAAGTCGACATTACCCCTCCCCGCGTTGGAGACTATAAAAATTAGGTATGCTAACAACGGGTGCAATTTTTGTATATTTATATCTATTTTTGTTGGTGCGAGTTCATTCGCGCCAAGATGGCTCGCGCCAAGATGGCTTGCGCCAAAGTGTCCCTGCGCCAAAGTGTCCCTGCGCCAAAATGTCTCGCGCCAAGTCGGCCGCGCCAAGTTGGCCGCGCCAAGTCGGCCGCGCCGAATTGTCCTAGACCGCAAAATGTTGTGTACTTATCTACGCAATGAAACAATTTATTTTACCGATGAAATCAAAAACGTTTTACTTCTCGATCGTAAGCTAAGGAAGAATAATTGTAATAAAATACATCAAGCGACTGGCTACTTTCACATTTTCTCGATGTGTCATGACCCATAGACCCGTTTTCCCTCCGTCTGTCTGTGTGTCTGTCCGTCCGTCCGCCGTCAATTTTTGTTAGACAGATAATCTCCGAAACTACCGGACCGATTGTTGTCAAATTTTATGTGTATCATGTAGATGGTGAAATGCTAACCAAACTTTGTCAAATGATCCTCACCTGTGGTTTATTAATCCGTGTTGAGTTTTTACGCGGGATATTCAGATTTTTAGAAAAAAAATCAAAATTGGTTAACAATATTTTGCAATGTAATTTTGAGTCTGTAAAATCGAATGCTTTGAAACCTTGCAGACGTTTTAAAGGTCAAATTTTTAATCAGTATATACTTATTTAGCCCCCCCAGAACATTATTGACGTCATCTTCAAATATTTCTCAATAAATCTTATTTAAAATGTGCAAAATATGATGAGTTTATACTTGTGATTTATATATAAAGTGGGAGAAATTAAAAAAAAATATGCATAAGTCAATTTATTTTTCTGATTAAATCAGAAGCTGCAAAGCCGAATACTTTGAAATCTTCCAGACGTTTTAAATTGATGGTAAACAGGGTAAAAAATAAATCCTATCGAAAATATGCAAAATATGATGAGATTGATGTGAATTAACTTTTTCTTCTTTTTAATTAAATGTATTGTGATTTTTCATTCGTCGCCAGATCGGGAGGCGGAGTTTAATTGCAAAATCTATATTTGTCTACAAAAATTTACCATTTTAAACATGCTTTAAGTTTCTTCTTGTGAAAAGAAGACTACATATGTTAAGAAAAAAAGGGTACAATGTAAGCCCCGCCCACCCACCCTGTCTCAATTGTGATGATTTTTTTATTCGTCGTGAGCCAAAAGGGCGGAGCTAAGTGGCAAAATCATTACTTCTCCACAACAAAAAACTCGACAACATTTTTCAAAGAATTATTAAATAATTTAAATAGTTCAAAAAAGTGAGGTTTTACAGGAATGTTAGTTTTTTTACATAGAATTAAATATAATTAGTGTATTTGTTTAGTATTTTTTTACACTATGTTATTCTACAGTGCCTTTTTTAAATGATTGAATGCTAACCAGTGCCCTCTGGTAGACAGTTTCTACACCACATAATCTATTATCATCAAAAATCGCCCGAAACTGGTGGTCAGCAACCACCCGCACAGTACAAAGATGACGATTCCACAGTCTAGTTTTAGAACAAGATTTCTGGAGTTGCCGTTTTTTTTTATAAATGTATGTATGGAAGTAAAAGAGGTAAAAGTAAAATCCGAAAGCTCACCAGGTTATGAGGCCAGAGTGCGGCACATACAAAGGCAGTAAAACTAGAAGCAAAAATATTTATTCTGTTTTTTTTTCTTCCAAAATTTGATTACGTTATCTACAATTTTGCTGAGTAATTTGAATTCAGAATGTGCAAAATAATACGTTTTCATTCTGTCGTCGATTTTTCTTTTCTTTTTAATCAAACGTATTGTGATGAATTTTTCATTCGTTGTTAGATCGAGGGGCGGAGCTTAATTGCAAAATCCATATTTGTCTAGAAAAATGTACCATTTTAAACATGTTTTAAGTTTCTTGTTGTGAAAAGAAGTCTACACATATTAAGAAAAAAAGGCAAAATATAAGCCCCGCCCACCCGCCCTGTCTCAATTGTGACGATTTTTTTATTCGTCGTGAGCTAAAAAGGCGGAGCTTAGTTCCAAAATCCATATTTGTCTACAAAAATTTACCATTTTAAACATGTTTTAAGTTTCTTCTAGTGAAAAGAAAACTCCGTAAGTATGTTAAGAAAAAAAGGCAAAATTCGTATTTTTTAGAATTGCTGATGCAGGGTGACTCAAAGAAATTAACGAATTAGTCATTTTATTTTCCTAATGATATCAGAAACGCCTTACTCCATTTACGCGTAGCACGCTTCTTTACATTTACTTTAACATTACACACATATCCTTATTTTAAAGATTCCCTTAAGAAAAATTAAATTCGGAAAATGATGATAATTTTTCGAAGAAGTTTAATTGTACTTGAGGGTCGAAGTAACCTATGACTAATTTTTTTTGTCAGTTTTATTGGAATAAAAAATTATTTGCGTTCTTAAAATGACGTTTACTTACTCAATGAATGGGATAAGTAAAATTTATTACACTGCTTAGATAAAACAGTTTTTCTAAAATTGTCAAAATTTCACATTATTTAATGATTCTGTTTCCTATTTGTTTTGTGCAGCCTTTGCATAATCTAATTATGATCTATTTTCACATGTTTTTTTTTCTTGTTTAGTCTGTATTATTCTTCAGTTCTAATTCAACTAACACAAAATTTTGGCTATACTACATTCGAATATTCTTCACAGGCATAATATGAATAATTTTTAGTAAGCTAATGATTTTTTATGATTTAAACAAAACCATTAAACGGACATATTTTAAACACAATTTAAATAATAATTAACGATAATGCGTTGCTCATTAATAACCCCAACAAAAAATAACAATCTGGCAAATCAACGTCATTGTAGAAAAAAGTCCACGATAAATTTAATCCTATAAGTTACGTGGCCATCAGTATGTTTTTAGCACCAGCTTGGTTCGGTCCGTTTCAATTCAGTTTTGAAAATTGCTCATGACAACCGTAATGAAATCGCCGTGCACCGTAAGTTTTCAATATAAGATAACCATAATGTGATTTGACCACCCATTAAACCCATCCCAGAGCCTCCCATTATCGTAACATGCCCAGAACTCAAATAAAAATAACTCAAAAATGCAACACCTGCATTAAATTTCCAGTTTTATTGTTATTGCAAAAATTTGTCTGCTATTCAACTAAATGCACCCATAAAAAAATCCAAAAAAAATAGAAAGCTGTTTGGGTTATTATTAGACAGCGGATTTCTGTCGGGCTACGTCACGATATAGGTGGGGACGCGCTGCATCGCCGGGACTCAGTAGCGGGTGATAGGTAATCACTGAATTTAATTGGCACTTGATTCCATAAATACAATTAACGATTTATTAATCAAACGGCCAAGTAAATGAGAACTGGAATTAACAGCAGAGTGCAACGAAGCAGCGTTATTCTAATCTCAAATAAACGAAGTGCAGCCCGTAATTTCAATGAATTCCCATCCCGTACGAGCCGTACCGAGTTTGGCCTTGTCTAGCCCGACAGAAATCCGCTCCCTAGTTATTATCCAACATTAAGGCCGTAAATTCGTATTATTATAATCATTAGTGTCACAGGAACACCAAATGTGTGAAATACTTTACAATCGTGCGTCTCTCTGGTATAAACAAAACAAAAGAAGTTAACGAAATTTCGTCCATGTCATTTACCTCCCACGGTAATGCTATACATCAAACGTTACGGTTACTTCGTATATATGTAATTTTCAGGAACAGTAAACAAACAGTGGCTTAACTAAACAGCGAGTCTAGAAAGTGTTCACGGTATGTAAATAAACCCGTGGAAAAGTGTTCGCCATTCGAGAAAATGTTGTATCTCCTCGGGGCGAAAATTCGACCCAAATTTATCCCTGCACGCACTTCCGTCATGTTTTTAGGTTCATTACGGTCGTGATGCTCGAGGCCTTGTGAGTCTCATCATTGGCAAAACACAACAAACACCCGCGTAATCAAGCCGTATTACTTCACACGACCTTCGATCCGTTATAAAGTTATTACGTGTGCCATTGATTGATCATCGACTTCTTCCGTCCCTCAACCCTGGGGCACAAAGATTTAGTACCAGGTCGCGGAGGGGACAACGTTTTACACCTCTCAGGCGGTTTTTTAAAGGACAGTGTCTGAGAGCTTGAGGCGGTAATCATAATCACGGAAGTAACTCAAACTGAAATTTCTTAGCTGTCTTTCGATAAAACTGCAGGGGACAGCGATGGTACTAAAAGATTTATTCAATCTTGGCCTTGGTCAAACACCTACAATTTAAAGGGATCTTTTGTTTTTATTTATGAAGTAATCCTTTTATACTATTTTTCCTGCAGTTTGACGAGTCGTTGTCGACGTGACCTTAGAAAAAATATTAACTGTAGATGCTTAATTTTTATGTTTTGAGATGCATTGCTGTTAACTTGTTTAAGGTACGATAAAAATTATTCATGCATAAATCACGTACAACGTTTATGCTACACTTGGTTTTATTAAACTTGTAATAATTTAAAAATTAACTCAAAATTATTGCGGATGTTGTCAGTTTAAAGAGCTGGATACATATAAAACACTTCCAAATCCGGGACGAACTGATGATCTTTTTATATTTAATTATGATTGCACTTTATGCCGCTTATAAAATGATGAATAATTTACGTTTATGACAAATACGTCCTTTTACTGCTCTCCGTCACAAAAGATTTTATCAAAGATTTATAGTCGTGTTATCTAAGATTTAACAAAGTCGCAAATAAAACGTTATAATGTAAATAAAACTGTGAAATGCAGTTTGCACATTTTAAAGATTCTGGTAAATTTTGTTTTAATTTGCTGGTCAACTAACATTGAAAATTGGTGGTGTCATCTGTCATTTTTTTCATAATTCTCGTTCTGAAATAATGATTCGTAATAAAATGACTTCCAGTGGGTTAATTAGATAGATATTGAGAAAAATAAACAATATAATGATTCCAAGATGCCTACGAAATCCCCAAATGAACTCGTCAGAAGTCATTTGGGTGATGTTCACTGTTTCAAAACCAGAACTATAACCCTGCCTTTTCATTTAGTTTACACATGTTTTTACTTATTATTTCTTTCAATCAAAATCTTTTCATAGCTACAAAAATAAACAGTTCTGCAAAATATATTATTATTATTATAGCTACAAGTACCATTTGCGGTTTTTTTTACAAGTTATGTTTTCCTTTTTTGTATGGTTATCCTTTATATCCGCAATTATATGAACTAATTATTCATAATTATGAAGATATTTACCACTAATTGGACAATTTTACGAACCCTCATGAATACAGTTGAAACCGCAGACGATACTAACGTTGAGCACAGTTGTAATGGTGAGAGCTGATGATATGGCCTTTAGATATTTAAAACATATAGCAAACCGAATTTCGACAGTAAATGAATCTTTTACTTTATATTTATTATGTTTATGACTATTTTTTCCTGAAAATTCCTTTAAATATAGATTATATTAGGCAAATATTATTATTATTTTTTTAATCCTCTCTACGTTTACATGACTACGTATAGAATTTTGAAAACAAAATTGAGTATAAATCAAAATTTTACAATTTAAATAAATTCGAAACTATATAATCTATTGCTTTCAAATTTTGCACGTTTTTTATTGACTAAAAAGCACTAAAATCAGTCTTAACAGGTACTAGCCCCACCCACCCTCCCTCTCTTTTCTTAGATGGTATGTCATTTGCTAAAATCGGTCTTAATTTAACAGGTACTACCCCCGCCCACCCGCCCTCTCTTTTCTTGGAGGGTATGTCATTTGCCAAAATCAGTTTTATCTTAGCAAGTACTAGCCCCGTTCACCCGCCCCTATTTTCTCAGAGGATATGTCATTTGCCAAATTAAGAGTTATCTTAGCAAGTTCAACCTTCTGAGCAAATAAAGGGCGGGTTGGCGGGGCTAGTACTTGCTAACATAAGTCTTATTTTGGCAAATCACATATCCTGTGGGAAAATAGGGAGCGGGGTGGGCGGGCCTAGTATTTGTTAAGATTAAACTGATTTTGCCCCTATTAATCTTGTAAAAACTTGTGAAATTTAAAGGTGTTAGATTGTAAATTTCAATAGTAATCAGGTAAATTATTAAATCGACCCGAAATGGGCAAAATGTGATGAGTTTTTACTTGTGATTTATCATTGGATTCATATTTTTTAGATTTGCTTATACAGGTGGCCCAAAAAAATTATCCACTTTATTTTCTTAGATGGTATGTCATTTGCCAAAATCAGTTTTATCTTAACAGATACTAGCCCCGCCCACCCACCCTCTCTTTTATTAGGGGGTATGTCATTTACCAAATGCAGTCTTACCTTAGCAGCTACTAACCCCGCCCACCCACCCTCTCTTTTTTAGAGGGCATGTCATTTGCCAAAATCAGTTTTACCCTAGCAAGTACTGATGACTAACTTTTACCAAAAAGAATTTATTATTTTTTTGGGACTCCTGAAATCCCATACATAACGTACTGAAGAGTTAATCCGCCATTTTACAGACACCCGGTAGTGTTCCTTTGTTTTTAAATATACCTAATCTAGTTATCGTAAAAAAATAAAATAATGTTAAAGCAAATTTTACAGTTTGCCTTAAAAAAAATAGAAAAAAATTAGCCGAACGTTATTTTGAGAAAACTTCCCTCGCCCTTGAAGTGTAGTCCGACAAATCTAGCTTCTATCAAAAATTATATAATTTTAGTTTGCGATTTTCGCTTTGTAATAACCTATATAAAATAAAAACCAGTGGTGCACAATATGAAATATATTTAAATCGGATAACCAACGGGAAAAATGTAGATATTATCAGTTTCTCAATACATGCTTAACTTCGATTGTTTATGTTTATACTTCGAAGGAATGTCAAATCTGCGGTTAAAAGAAAATGAAATATGATTCATTTTGTCTCCTCGACACAGAGGATGACTAATTAATTAATTAAACACTAATTAGAACTGATTGTCTAGCGTAAACACACTCCTAAATTTATTTAGCAAAATTCTAAGATGACATCATTATTTTTTGCGGAGGAGCATAAACGGACAAATTTTGATTAAAATATCTGCAAGATTTCACAGCATTCAGTTTTGCAATGTCAAAGTTAAAATGTGAAATGTTGTTGTACAATTTAAATTTTTTCCCAAAAATCTGGATATCTAGGGGGAAAACTCAACACGGATTCATAAATCACACATCCAGGAGTAATTCTATAAAATTTAAAAAATATTTATTTGGCAAAAGTGTAAAATGACGTCATCATTTTTGGAGACGCATAAACGAAAAAATTATGATTAACGATTTTTTTTTTCAAAAATCTGGATGTCTAGTGTAACACTTCAGCACGAATTCGTAAACCACAAGTGCAGGGGTATCTTATTTTATAAAATTTAAATAACATTTACTAATACAAATTTTGGAGATGACGTCATCCTACTGGCGGTGGGGGTGATCAAACAAATTTTGGTTAGTGTTTTACCATCTACATGACATTCCCAATACAACTATAAAATTTGGCAACAGTCGGTCCAGTAGTTTCGAAGATTGTCTAAAAAACAAAGGGAATCCGGGGTGCGATTTTGTTTCTCGATCGAAAAAAACTCGATATCGATAAAATCTCGTTTGCTGATTGGTTGAGAGGCTGAGTTGGTGAGATATTTCTGTCACATTTCTCGATTCTGTCACGAAATCAAGTCTTCATGGAGTGATATTTTCTCGATCGCTCTGAATGAAGTGATAAATTTTGGAGACATAACCTCGAAATTTATGTCAAAATAGAAGATCAAAATCGTAATTCTGAGTTATAAGTTCTTAAAATTAAGGTAATTGTAAACTTTTAAGTAATTAATAAGCATATATGCAAAGAATAAATGCAATTAAAAGCTACCCAATGACATTTATCGCAAGTGATAATTTATCACTTCGATAGAGAAACAAAATCCCACCCTCG